GTGGGGGGCCTAAGTATAAAATGTAGTCTCAAACTGGATTGAAGTAGAATCAGTAGCAATATTAAGTATACTCAGTACTTTATTAAAGTGTATGAAGCTCAGCTAGATGATAGAATGCAAGTTTTTATTAAATTCAATGAATAACCATGTCTCTACAAACTGTTGACTTAGTATTTTTATTTGCAATTTTATACCTTAGCCCATTTATTTTCTCCTAAATTCATAGTAATCATTTTAGTTGTGAACTTGGCTGTCTATATAAGGCAGTTGTTTCTAAGCACAACAAATCATTAAATCCCAAATCCATACTCCCAGCATTGCTGGTCTATCATATGTGTCATCAATGAAATATCAACAAAGATACATATTTTTATTCTGAGCTGTTTATCTAATTGTTAATTTTTTCAGTGACATCCCTGTTTTAACTGATGCAATTATCTGTGCCAGAACATGTAATGCTTAGTTTAGGATCTTCAGTATCTGTATCTATGACAAATACCAAATTCTTTAAAACTGCTTTTTAGAATATAAAAATAATAGTCTTTTAAAGTGTGTTCAAAGCAAAGTCTGGGCATTAGTATTGTTGTGTGGTTGCATAGACACAGTTTTTTGACACTCTAAATCTTTTTTATCTTCACTAGTAGTAGATGAGCTTCAAAAAGAAAATGTTAGAAACTGACTTCAAATTTTTCACACCTCCTTAGCACCAGGTTGTAAATTCTGTTGAAAGTTTGATCAGGCTGATAATGTTTCACTGCTAATAACTGCTTACAGTCCCATGAGCAGTCTCTGTGGCTGTTCAGTTCTCCTTGCTTCTCATTAGCTAGCCATGACCCAGCTAAATATTGGCATTTAATCTCCGAGGGGTTACATTTGGACATTTATGTGTTGTCGGTCAAGCCTGGAACTACGCAGAGGTTCAGGAGTAAGAGCACTCTCTCTTCATTATCCAACAAGAATCTAAAAAACCATTCAGAGAACTTAATCTGTTCTAAATTCTCAATATCAGGAATCTTTAAGCACTGATACTGGGATTTAATTACCAAAGATGAGTGGATTTTGTGTAAGAATTTGGATGGATAGTACTCATCAGTGCTAAAGAGCAATAGCTAGACCGTACTTTCTAAAAGGTCTCTTTTAGCCATCTGTCTTTTTATAGCTTATTCCCTAATATTGACTTGTTTTCCCTTTAAAAGGAAGTAGAGAGGGTGGTTAGTGTCTTTTGAGGATTTGTTTTATTAAAAATAGCAATTAAGGCCCTCCCTGGTGGCGCAGCGGGTTAAAGCACAGCACTGAGAAGCTAAAGCCACTTCCGCATGAGTTCGATTCCCGCCTACCCCGTAGGTGACCACATGGCGTGGCAGACCTCTCCTGACCTGCCCGCTGCTCCCCTCAGCAATGTACTTCCTACTCTGTCTCTGGTGAAGCCTCTCACCACCCCTGAGCCTCTGGCCTGTACCCCAGTTCTGTATGAACAAATAAATAAATCTTTAAAAAAAAAAAAGCAATTAAACAAATCTCCAACTAAATGAATTTATTTCTTAAATAAAAGTCACCCTGTAAATATAGGAATTTGGCATCGGTGGGAAGGAATTGTTTTGGTAACATCAATGTTGTTAAACAATACAGTAATTTATAATTTATTGAGAGTCTAAATTTTAAGGATACTGAGAGGATGCAAATACTAAAATAGGTATCCAAGAGGATATTTTATACTTGTCCTTTGAATGCTATGAATGGGGGAAATGACAAGACTCTATACATGACTTATGACTGTTTTATTGGAACCATTCGTTCATTCATTGATTCATTAATAACTGTTTTCAATACTAATTTTCAATGCTAGAGATAAATAAGACAAAGTGCATTTTACAAGTTAATGTCAAGAGAAATGAGGAGCAGCTAGTTTTTGAAATGACAACTGTTTTCTCTCCACCTTTGTACATATAGTAAGTTAGCCAAAATATTTTTATTCTTTTTGAGGTGTCACTTGTTTACAATGCTCTGTGTGGTTTAAGGTATGGATGACCTCCTTCAGGTGTATCTTACCACACCATACCCACAACCAAAAGAATTTAAGATTACAGATGGGGATCCATTAATTCAAAGGCTTCATGTTTATTTGCATCTTTTTCCTTGCTGACTGTAAAAAAGATGGCAAAAATGCTAGTAACACCAATTTTTATCATTACAGTTTGGGCAAGATATGCTTTCTCATATTAAGCAGCTACGTTCTCTAGCATTTCCATTTCAACACTAGATCTATATTTTGAATATTAAAGTATAGCTTGCAAAATACAGCTTCATTTAACACCCACGGTAGGTAGATAGGCCATGTGAAGAGTAGATATAGGACATTATGGTCCAGTTGAAAGACATCGCCACTTCTCAGTAGTTTGACTTTATTGTGTAGATGTTTACATGAGAATTTATGGATAGTTCATAACTGTCTTATATCATAGGTATACTATGAGGCATAATTAAATTTAATCCACATGTGAAACACTGTATGTTGTTATAACTGGCATGTATAATGTAAAAGAAACTGGATGAATCCTGTACACAAGATTAAAAGAGTATTCCTGTAATATCAAGTCTTATCCACTTGAACTGCTCTATAAGATCAGATTTTAAAAATTAGGTCATTTTTATTAGGTGACTTTTGTGAAATAATGAGTTGCTTTATATAGACATATGCACATATTACATAGATACTGGCATTATGGATGTGTGTATAGAAAGAGTAGGAATTTAGCTCAGAATTATAGGCATTGTTCATCTCTTGTGTGTTGTTTGGAAAATGTATTTGTAAATTAACAATGCAGCCTTAGAAGCCATCTATTTTTATGTCTTGTTTATAGTTCCTTATTTTCTACTATTTCCCTCAAAGGAAGAAGTTTAATCTCAAGTTGGATAGCAAGGTTATAGAAATAATTGAGTGAAGTAAGTTTTCTACCCCTTCCCAGAATATAAACTCTTTTCATTTACAAAGATAGTTGAAAAATTGCTGTAATTAGATTCTTAATGAAACTATCTGTTGTAGATACATTATCAGTGAAATACTTAATGTATCCAGTACTATTAGTTGATACTTATTGGCGAGCATGTAATAGAATTCATTCATGTGAATGGTAAAAATTCCACTTTCTTTGTTAGATATTGTAATTCTTAGACAGTAGATCTGAAATTTTATTTGGTGGTCCAGTAGCACCTTTTTTTCCCCTCCAGATATTAAAGTCTTATGCAAAAAACATACACACACACACACACACACAGACTTTCAGAGCCTCTAGTGATCATGGTATGAAGACTCTGAGCTGTATAATATACATAGTGCCTTTTGGACTTTGGCTCCCTGCTAGAATTGTTGGTCAGCTTTTGTTAACTTTATCATTGAGATCAGTGGAAAATTTGACTGATTTCACAGCCTCTCAAGTAAAAATTCATCCATATTCTTGTTTTTCAAGGTGAAATTTGCATTCATGGTCTTTCAGTGAATGATGTTGGGATTAGTTAGTACAGGGATAGGGCATGTGGGGTCTATGTGTTTGAAGTGTAGGTGGTAAGAATCACCAATAGGTTTGTTTTAAAACTATGGGAATTTTCCAATTCTTGCACCCCCAGTGACACTGTGCAGATGCACCACACTGGCATACTGCTACCGAAAGCAGCATGTCAGAGCCTCTCATGTGCTGGGGTAGAAAATTGGTTATGAAGCACTGATCTAGGAAGTGTCATTCAACTTAGAGGTTAGGAACTGTTTTTAAATTACAGCATATATTTTCTGCCAATAAAATGTGTTTTATCTGTCACAGATGTCTATTCTCTCATGGTACTTAGTAATTTCTAGTAACCACGGAATAATTCTCATTTTCAATATTTGGCAATTTTAGAAAGGGAAAACAAGGACACAAGACAATGAATTTGTAAGGACTTTCCTTTTTAAATCACAAGTGTGTTTTTTCATGAAAATGAGAAAACTCGTTTTTATAAATCTCATCAATCTAATAATGATAAACTTGTCAAGAGAAGTGGCATAACTATACAGAATTGTGGTTATTGTTACATTGTTTTGTTTACTGTAAACCTGGTGCAATATTGGTAAATACATCATAGTGGAAACTGAACTATTTTGAGCGCTATCTGGGCATCAGTCCAAGATATCATTAAAAATACTGCCTCAGACTAATTTGGGCATATGAATAATATTTTGTTAACAGCTCAAGTGAAATTGAGCCACATGGTGTGGCTTAAAAAATTCTGACTCTACAAGAAAATGAGAGTACTATTAGTATATGCTGTATACTTAAATTTCTAGATTTGGATAATAAATTTGTATGTAGTTGTATGTTAATCTTTTAATTGTAAACACCTAAATGATTCATATGGCCTGGTATCTTTAACATTTACTTAATGATGTAGTTTGCTGTTTATCTGAACAATCTGAACATCTTATAAGCTATTTTTGGTTTAACAGTCAAACCTAGAGCATAAGGAGAAATTGCTGAAAAATACTAAAATGGAAATCCAACATTCATTTTGTCAGTGTGGAGGTACAGATAGTGAGGGCTTATGCTAACACTCACCAAAAAGACTGAAGGGAATGCAGTTATTAAAGAATTTCAAAAAATGCATTTATTTTTACTAGAGAAAATTAATAATTACATTTTAAAATACATTATAGAGATTATTAATGTTTGGTTATAAATCATTAATTATATTATGCATAACAAAGGAAATGATAAGTGAGTGATCCCAAGATAAAACATACATTCTTGTTTCTTGCCAAGAAAAGAGGTATGTTTGTTTTTTTCTTTGTAATTAGTTCAAGTGCTTATTGAACATACATGTATAAAATCCTACTGAAAGAACACGGGGAAGATGCAATTTTCTATCAACTTTAGTGATAAGATATTTTGCAATGAAAAGGTTTATGTACTATATAAAGGATGAATTTAAAAAATTTCTCTTCTCAACAAATGCTATATATTTTTTTCCAGGTTAGCACTCTACGTATATGAATACCTGCTCCATGTAGGAGCTCAGAAATCGGCCCAAACATTTTTATCAGAGGTATGTTTATGCATTGTATTTTAACATTTTATATAAAGGAATGAAAAAAAGATTGACAGTTGTTTGGAAAAAAATGAAAATTTATAATGAATTTGCAGTTATCAGGAAAATAATATAGCCTTTGTAGATTATTTGTAAGCACTTATAGTATCCTGCCATTTCCAGCCAGTACTTTCCAGCTATTTCCTCCCCTTAGACATGAAAACTAATATTGTCTTAGCAAAAAATTAATCAAGAATGCAAATTTCCTTAAAGACAAATACTACCATATCTCTAGTTCTCATAGCATCTTATTTTGGCATTATCCCTGATTTTGGAAAGTGTGGTGTTTGCTTATTTTTATTTTGCATGGATAATATTATGGATCAGCGATGACTAAATTTTCATAATCTTATTTCAGATTTTTGTTTCTTTTCCTATTTTTTTCCCCTCACATTTAAAACATTTTTACAGTGGTACTTTGTCTTCTCCAATTTCTATAATGAGGAGGAGGGGGAGGAGGATTTTGCGTTCATAATACATGAAGGTGCTTTACATATATTCTTCAGTTCTTATAAGAAATTTGCAAGACACATGGTATCATTCCTCATCTACTAATGAGAAAAACAGGGCTTAGAGTTTTAATAACTGATTCTAGAGTTGAAACCTATATTCTTATTAATCCCAAAGCTCCTGCTTTTCCTTCTGTCTCTTTGCTGTCTAGTGTAGTAACTGCTACCCTTAAATGGTTTTTCAGTACCTGAATTACAGGCTATCTAGTTGAGAAGTGCTGTGAATGTAACTGAAAACCTTACAAAATGCCAATAATTTAAAATCTTTGATCACATTGAAATGATCATATTTTAGACATAACTGCATAAATACAATTTATCAGTAAAATTAATTTTACCCCCATTTTATTTTGATACCATTAACTAGAAAATTTAAATTCACATATGTGGCTCTTTCTTGTAATCCATGTTTACATTTTATGGGACAGGTTTCTGGAAATCATGTTGTGTCCAAGGATCTCATTAGTTTGGCCCCTTCCAGATCAGGGAAATGAGAGGTGACCCCTTAACCAAGCACATTGCACAGTCTTAGGATTCTCTTGCTCTCAAACAATACACATAGTCCCACAATCTCTTATCTAGCTAATTAGTATACTAAACTGGTAGGATTGATTTATTTGCTAGTGAGAAATTTGAGATATTTGTTCAGAATTTTTTTTTAAAGATTTATTTATGCATACAGAACTGGGTTATAGGCCAGAGGCGCAGGGGAGACAGAATGAGGAGCAGAACAGGCCGACTGACAAAGTACACTGCTGAGGGGAACGGCAGGCGGGTCAGGAGAGGTCTGTGGCACCATGTGGGTCACCTCCAGGGCAGGGATCGAACTCATGCTGTAGTGGCTTTAGCTCCTTAGCGCTGTGCTTTAACCCGCTGTGCCACCAGGGAGGGCCCTTGTTCAAAATTTTTAGTCAATTGTTTTACCATGAAAGGAATATACTCAATAGAATAATAATTTCCTTTCCCAATTAATTTAAAACAGAAGTTGGATAGTATATCTATATGTCCTTAAATCATTAATTAGAAGCCTTTGGCATATGATATTTGTAAGTTAACATTGACTGATACTATAGAAGCAGCGACTGGGATTGCAAAAAGGATGCTCTTATTTGTATTCTTAATCACTGCCAATGTGTTGTGTATTTAGAAAGAGCTATTAAATTTAAACATTTTACTTTAGTTGAAAATTTGATGAAACTTGAAAGGATTACTGATCTTTCTGAATCATCAGGGTTTTCAGAAATATATTTTCTTACCAGTGTTAGTTACCAGATGCAGTGATTATTAAAATTCACTGAGAAAGAAAAACATTGCTAATTTATTTAAGGAAGTTCAGATATTGGAACTGAGATGAGTCATGTGGTTTGAACATTTAACTTGTCACTATATTGATATGCCTGAGCTCAATGGAACACGGGTCAAACATTTTCCAGGCTATTTAGTAAACTACAGTTTCAGAAGAGAGTCACATATTTTTGACAGTGTACCTTCATTTTACTCTCTCTGGCCAAATTTCAAATACAAAACTGAGGAATTCTCTGATTTATCAGCCTGGTTCACTTTCAGTGCTGAATCAATAAAACGGAAAATAAACTCACTACTGGGAAGACTTTGGACTTTGAAGATGAGTGTGTGTGATTCTCAGAACTATTCTTCACTTTCTGGCTTGCCAACCTCTGAGTGGAATTAGGAAAAGAAAAACATTCTCATTCCTGAATAAACAGTATGGAATTGGTTAAACAGAAAATGACCAATTTTCTTGAGGTATAAGTTTAACACAATATAAAAGATTAAGTTAGATCTACTTGGATTTATATGAATAGACTTTCAAAACATTTTCTAGTAAAAGAAACAGGCCAGCCATACCACCTCATTAATATCTTGAACTTAAAACAGTGTGATATATTTTTGTGGGTACATATTTATGAATGGAAAAAATTAAATGGGATTTTGAAAAAAATTAAATGGGATTTTGTTCTTAGAATAGGATTTTTTTTTTAACAAATACACATATAAGTTGTACAGTTATTTAAAATAAAAATAATAGAAGATAAAGTTAAAAGCTTTCTGATTTTTAAAATGGAAGTCTGGAAGTAGATTTGATACCTCATTAATGGCTGAGTACACTGTACAATTCTAGATCACTTTAGATAAGCTAAGTTTGGATCATTAAATTTCAGTAGTTTGCTATTTCTTTTTCACACTTTTTTACAATACCTGGTATTCATTCTGCCTAAAATCTCCTCTCCTTCACTATTTGATTTTTAGTAGTAGCCTTTTTATTTCTTATGTATTTGCTTGTTTATATTTTGCCTCATTGTTCCTTTTTGTATTCTTTCTCCTCTCCAATGTAATCCCCCAAAATTCCCACCACCAATTCTTACTTGCACTGTCATGGTAGTCTCTAGTGCTCTTCCTGCCCCTATTTTTTTTTTTTTAAAGATTTATTTATTTGTGCATACAGAACTGGGGTACAGGCCAGAGGCTCAGGGCCTGCCCCTATTTTTTATTTTTTTAAAGATTTATTTACTTATACATAGAGAATATGGGTACAGGTGCAGTGAGAGGACTCACCAGAAACAGAGTGGGGAGCCGAACAGATAGATCCATGCAGGGGAGCAGCTGGTGGGTCTGGAGAGGCTGCTGCACTATGTGGTCACCTCCTGGGGTGGGGATTGAACTCATGATGAAGTAGCTTTAGCTTCTTAGTGCTGTGCTTTAACCTCCAGAGCCACCAGGGAGGGTCCCTGCCCCTGATTTAATACCTTTTCATTCCCCTCCCCTGCAGAATGTCTCTGATTTATAGCCACCTGTTAATTTTGGGTTTTTATTTATTACTATTTTCCTGATACCTTATTTGGTTCCCCTATATACCTTCTATATAAGTGAAACCATCTGATATTTTTCTTTTTCCTATTTTATTTCACTGAGCATATTCTCTTTTAGCTTCATCCATGTTGTAGTGAATGGCATGAGTTTATTTTTTGATTGCCAAGAAGTATGCCATTATATATAGAACATATATGTAAAATACATGTGTGATACACACAATCATATCTTCTTGATCCAGTCATCTACTTTTGGGCATTAGGGTATTTCCATATTTACCCATCATAAAAAGTGATGGATAGCACCTATTGCTAGAAAGGATTTTTCTGGCCTTCACTTTAATGTATTAGTAGTGCATTCTTAGACAATGACCTTTGCGTACTATGCCAGGAAATTTTATTGCCATCAACTAACCAGTAAGTTAGTCAAAAGTAGAAACTTAAAATCTTCAGATTTTATTAGGAATGATAGATGTTGAACACCATCATTTCAAATGTTGTTTCTATCATTTTTCATTTTTATTGGAACAATAGTGGTAATAATAATTCTTATTATGGTGATAATAACAATCGTTATATACCCTCACCAGTTTATTGAACTGTAATTTGGAGGAAGTATAGTATAGTAGATAGGAGCACTTGCTTTGAGACCAGATGTTTGAGTTTGAACTATGTTCTACATTTTATTTACTTGTTCAGTTTTTTAAGTATGAATAGAAGATAATTGTAATACTTCAGATTGTACTGAGGTTTAAATGAGTGGTACACATAAGGTGCTTAGGATAGGATCTGGTATGTCCTGGCATGTGCTTAAGTGCTTGTGTTATTTTCAAAATTCTTGATCACTTCTGTTCTATCCTTGAAGTCTTTTTCTTAAGAATTTTAAGTACACATCTTGACCTGTGTGTACCTGTGTGTTCCAAGTGTATGTGATTTGCATGATCCTCAATCTTTATACCTTCTGGGGTTACATTTTCTATCAGAATGGCTCCAGTTCTCATCCCTAATAGTCTAGATTGTCTCAAATCCTCTCCAACATCTCTGGGCCTTATTGAGAAAAGGGGAATGAAGCAGAGGGTTCTCATGTTACAATTTCTTGATCCTCCTAAATATTACAGCACAACTGCTTACAACTGCTGTCTTTTTTTTTTTTTCCCTAAAGATTTTTGTTTTCCTTATACATCTGAGTTCCACTAACTTTTTGCTCTTGCATCAAAAGGTTCTCCATGAAGGTTGGGGGATAACTGAAGACTTAAACCTTATACAGTACAGGCAACTTGAATTGGCCACAACCGTCCTTCAGTTCTTTGGTCTCCCTGCCACAGAGCATTTCTCACTGGCTATCTCCAAGAGCCCTGTTTGCCTTCTAGCTTGTTGACTCCTTTTAAACTTTTCCATTTTCTCCTTTTCTGAATTTCTCAGATGGCCCAAAATTCTTCCTGGGAGACTATCAACAGCCTCCTAAATTCTTTTAGTTTGTAGACTATTTAATATAAATACTGTGAAACCATTTCTAGGGACCTCTGCTTTTTTGGATCCAAACAATAAAAACAAAAATAGCAGGGATTAGTCACAGTCACAGGTATTCCTCTTTAAGAGAACATTTGCTTGCCTTTTAAAG